CTCTACAGTGCTAGCAGGACTAAAAGAAGCAAAAACATACTGCTTCTCTTACAGCTAAGAAACTGTTCTGATTTTGTAGATAAGAGTTTAGCCATCTGGAGAAATTGCTCAACTCTGCTCTCGTTTCCAAAACTGCAGTCTGTCACCAAAGTGAGAAGAGACTATATGTGCTTCTGAAATTTGTAGTGATTTTCCACGAAGGAAAGTGTCAAGGGGATGATGAAAGACAGACTCTGTGAGCCGTAGGAACCCTTCTCACCTATCCCAACACCACTGCTCGCTTGAGCAGCAAATGGAAATAGCCATATAATAGCTGAAGACAAGGTCTGAAACAAATTGGTGGTGTTGCCCTAGCATTCAGGGAGATGCGCTAGCCTCCTGTGACTTGGAGCATTAAATCCGCTCTTAGGTCAGGGCAAGGATTGCAGTCAGCCGTGCCCAACGGCTAGAGCAGAAAGGGGGTTTGGAAATTCTCAGCATGAGCTCAGGTGAGGAGCCACGAAAGCTGACGGTTTGGACAGAAAGGGCTGCACATCTGGCCAGTGGTTGCATCAGAGGGACAGCCAAGGCAGTATCGCCAGAGATCAGCCTGCAAGAGCCCATACGGCGAGCCCAAGGAGCGGTGCTACAAACTGCTGCCTGCAGCAGGAGGCTCGTAGAGACAGGGTGGGTTCAAGCAAGCCTGTGAGGAGGGGGGAGTAAGCGGGGCGAGGGGGAGGCAGCCCAACGCGGAGGTCAGAATGGTGAAATTACAGGCCAAAGGGTGAACTAGGAGCTAGGGGCAGGAACAGGATCTGGGTTAGAGAAAAGGTCAGGACTCAGCAGGGAAGATCGCTTGCTGCAACCTAGAAGCACGTTGAACTAATGAGACTGGAGGAGTCTGGATGTACGATGGATAGGACAAACTGTCGAGCTGCTGGCCTTGCTGGGGGTTTGTGTAGGACCGTTCGGCCTTCTGCAATTGTTTGCTCCAGAGTGACACTGATGAGCCTGGAGGAGGCAACTTCAGAGGCAGGTTTCTGGACTGGGCCACAGCAGACTTCTCTGTCAGTTTGCCTTTGCCAGTCCTGTGGGGCAGCAACTTCCGTCACTCGAGCTGTCAGTGTAATACTTTTACAAAACACAGCCACTGCCAATCTTTCAAAGGCCAACAGTCACATTAAAAATAATGATATAGGAAAAAAAGTGTAGTTTGTGTGTGCGGGGGGGTCATTCTTGTTTTCTGGTGTTAATGACTTTGAGGATCTAGCTGGTCAGCTTTATGTATAATTCCAAGACCTAACAACAGACATTTTAAGTTTGTTGTTTGTTGTTGTCTTTGTAGATGAAGCTGAGTTGAAGTGGTTTGGATTTTTTTAAAGTGTGACCCAAGTCTAGGCAGTCCTTCCAGTCCCTGTGATTAAGACACAGCAATTTCCACAATGAGTAGCATACAAGGGAACGAAGCCACTTGCAGTGCGTCCTGCTGCCTGTTATTTTTCAGTGTCAAAGGCAGTAGCTGATGGCTTGCAAGTAGTCTTTGCAAGCTAGGTTCACCCTTGTGCTTCTGATCCATAACAAGATATCTTAGCAGCTCTTCCCTACGTTACTAATTCAGAGGCATGAGTGAAGAGAATTAACTAGCTATTTGGGACTTTGAGAAAAATGTTCCATGTGAGACCTGTGACAAATCACAAGCTGCCACAACTGCAGGTTGGCTTTCAGGCAAGAGAAACGTCAGTGATGCTTTTAAACAGAATAACTAAGGTTTTTCTGATTTTATTTATTTGATGCCATTTTTAATGTGATCACACAGAAATGGGGTGCATACCAATTGCTAGAGCTTCCTGTGGTGCTTTTGTAGCTTCCACTGACTAAGAGAAAAAGACAGTGCACCGTTACAGAAAACAGGAACAATGAAGAGAGCCTGGGGGAGCAAGAATCCATACCTGGATGCCCTCGGAGGTGGCAGAAACCTACGGGCATGGATGAGCTTGGGCTCGCACACAGGCCCAGATAATCAAAAGGCAGCTGTTGTCCCATGTGTTGGCTTGCACAAAGAGAGCAAAAGCTCAGAAGAGTGACTGATTTTGCTCTCCTAAGAAAATATTGTTAAGACCTTCCCCCCCCCCACCCCCCACCTTGGAAATCATTTCTTCCTCTCTTGGGAAGTCTACAATAGCGAGTTGGAAAAAAAAAAAGGAGAAAACAATGCTGTTTGTTTAAATGTGAGTATTTCTGCATCTCTACTGTTACTTAAAAAAAAAAAACAAATCTGCTGTGTATGCGAAATGCTCTATAAAGATGCTCAAGGAGAAGTAACTGATGAAACCTTCACCAGCTAGAACAAGAAAAGCTGTGTGTTAGACTGAAGCGTTATCCTGAGCTGCCTACTACTGCAAGCAAATGTGATGAAGTACTTGCTGTCTACAGACGTCAGCATTGCTTAGGAAATTGGGAGCTTGTCTGAAAAAATATACTTTGCTCCCAGTTTTCTGGACTTTGTTGCTGTTTTGTTAGCTAATCATGTTTTATGCCAGGATGTTGAGAATTATCTATAGTATTTTAACTACTTGCATGATGAGCAGCATGACTCTTACCTGCATGAAATACATGGTGCAGTCGAGGAAAGCGTGAGACAGACAAACATACAGAGAGACTCCCACTGCTGTTCAGGGCATGGGCCAAATCTGCTCTGGAGGGAGGGATGGATGCGTTAGTCCAGGCTTTGTCGGACAGATGCCGCACCCACTTGAAGACCATAGCCATCCAGTGGTGGAGCATCAACTCTTACTACCTCGAGAGATTCAGAGCATTTACATTTACTATTCCTTTACTATTCAAGTAGATATTACAGAGAAATAGTGCAAGAGCAAATGTTGTTAAGTTTCCTTGTGTTCCTCCCCAAAATGCTTCTTGGAAGTCCTAGTAGGGTATTGCTTCAAACAGTCACTATGGCAGCGATAGCTTGTTAAGTTTGTATCTTATATATACAGGGCAGGTTCTCCTTTGTCACCAGTTTATTGAATCTCAAATTCAAGAAAACTTTGGTAAAGCTATTCATTTAAAACTTAATCTGAGCTGGGACAAGGAGCGCTGACTTGCGGAGGTAGGTTTCTTGCTTTTTTTCTGATGTGCATGCCCACGCACGTGTGTTAAGGCTGCCAAGTTGAACAATGCCAACTTTTTTTTTTTTCTTTTTTAAGAAAGAAGGATGGTACTGGGTTGGGGCAGGGGAAGCATTGGTTTGAATAGTTTAAAAAGATGAACTTGAAAATTAGCCTGACACCAGCCCAAATCATAAGATTCTGGTAAAACTGTACTACCTGGTTTTCAGCAGAGCAGAGTAAGTGTCCAACAACATCGTTGTGACTCGTTCTGTCTATGCTGTTAGAGACGCTAGATACAAGAATGAGATATGGTGCTTTAAGGCAGCAATAGATGCACATGGAAATAAGCACGTCTACTGGCCTACTGGGGGAAAAAAAAGCTCAAAAAGGTTTTGAGAAAATCTTAATAAAACACTGTTAAGCAGAACAAAGCTCAGCTATTGATGCCATCTGTATATTACGTTTCTGGCTAGGGTTTGGGTCTTTTTGGTACGGAAATTGGAATTAGAGGTTGGCTCACTACATCATTCACATGCAAACACAAAGCTCAATAACATGAGAAGGATTTTACTGTAGTAGAAAGAAGAAAAAGCAAGCTGCAGGCAACAGTAGCATGTTCTTTAAGAAGTTATTTGCAGGGGGAAGTAGAGAATGTTTGAAGCTCTTTGGAGAAAGCGTGCTAGCAATATGCTACATTTGAACAGCCAGAGACTAGCACCTGATGGGTAGTGAAGGTAGAGAGTAGTAGCAGCAAGTGATTAAACTACAGCCTTGTAAGACTGGGACTGACCTGTTCAGATCAATTCGCATTTAAGTGCTTGGCTTTTTGCCTGCAGTTAGCTAAGACCGTGACTTGCTGAGTTTGCCCGTCAAAGTGCCCTGAAGCTCAACGAGCGGCTTTAAATGGGTGATAATGTCCACAACAGCAGCCACACTGCACTGTCAGGTGTTTGCTGTAAACTGTGATTACTCTTAACTACACAGATTTAGAAGCAAGGGATTATGTTCTACTTCTGCCTCTGTCCAGTCTCTCATCTATATGAAACACGGTGATGATAGATGCGATGCTTCCCCCCC